CTTGTCACAGGAGGCGAGCTTCAAGAGAAGAGAGTGACCCGGCAGCATGTTCTGCAGACCCGAGTCACGGCCTCATCATTTGTCGGAAACAGAATTCTGAGTGGAGTCCCGACCTCTGCATCAGCCTGTATGTAAAGGAGACCCCGGGAGGTCACCATGCATGTTGCAGTCGGAGACGGTCCAGTATCAAGAGTATCCCCGTTTTCCTCTGGGAGTCCCCATGACTCTCCCGTCGGGCCCTGACGTGCTGTGTGAACACCTTCTCTACATCACCTTCCTTCTTCCTTAGCACAGAGGCAGCCGGGTGCCCTCCAAGACCTGAGACTGTCTGGGGTGTGGGCACCCTCTTTCTTTGCTCCCCTTTGTGGGTGCTAAGTCCTTTTAGTCTCCTCTGAGGGTATAGTTCCTTGGGAGAAATTTTACCATCATTTCAAAATAATTTTTTTTCAATCACTCGTGCATAAACTAGAACTCTTTCTGTCCTTTGGGTGCAGCCTTCTATGGTCGAAGCAGAGCTGCATGACCCAAGCTGGCTTCCTCAGCTCACCAACAAGGGAGACAATTACTCATTGTAGTCTTTAGGAACAGCAAGCAAATGTGCCAAATGAAGTCAAATGTAGGATACAGATAATATATGTGTCATCATATATCTGGAAGACTTCACGGGTATAACACAATGAGGGCTGACAGTACTGTTCTGTACTAACAATATGTTAGATTATTTCTGCATTAGTCATTTCCCCCCAATTTCATTAAGGCAGAGAAAACTGTGCATCATATAAACTATCAAAGAATAATAGCTGTAATTTTTCTTTGGAAACATTGTTCAAAAGGTACTGCCAGAAACACACTGTACTCTTAAAAATTGTCCTTAAAAAAAAAAAAAAGAAGAGTAAGAAGTGCTTTGCAGGATCCCTTGATCTCTCTCTGCTAACACAGCCCCCGTCCACCCACACCCTATCAACCCCGCGCCTACATTTGTCTGCTTCCACAGCCTACACCTCCTTAAAATCCCTGAAAACTGTAGCAATAGTTGGAGCTTTGGAAGTCATCAATGACAATTTTGTTTAATCCTTTAAAATCTGTCACTTAAAAAAAAAAAAAAAGTCCTAATGGTTTCTAATGAAATAGCTATGTCTGTGATTCACAGATGGCTTGCTCTTCCCTGGGTCGAAGTGACATTTACACTTGGATCTCAGATAAGAACGCTCTGCCCCAGAGTGCACAGTCTTGGTGGAGAGCATCTCCTCCCCTCTTCCCTGGTTGATGAGAAGCGTACTTTCTCATGAGCGTGCATCCAAACCCGAACCCTTGGCTGGTCTGGTTAGGATGACCTTGACGTACGAGATTCCCTGTAGCACCCTAGGACGTGGTCAGAAAGGAGGGTTCACTCTCCTGTGTCTTCATTCATCACAAGGATCAGTGCAAGTACAGGACCGAGTTCAGAGGGTTTCTGAAAAACAAACTCAAAAATACTCATCAGTTGCTAATCCCTCCTCCTAAGAGAGAAGAAACACCTCAAAGAGCATCTCCAAATATTTGCCAATCCACAAACTATAGAGTGCAGAAGACTATAGAACAAAGTGGCTCATGGGATATCTGCCACATGAGCTCATCTAGTGGATGAGGGTTTTTAAAAAGCCACCTGAATTCAATGGTAGGGTCCCCTCTTCACCCAGGAGCCCTTGCCTCAGCAGGGCAGATGTGAATGGGCACAAGGACACCTGAAGCCCACAGGAGCTACGGGCGCAGGGCTGCCCTCCCTGCTGCCCCTCCCTAGCACTCACCTACCTTCCTCCTGCTGATACCCAGCAGGACCCCAGCTCTGTAGCCATGTAGACCCACCTGGGGCACCACCTGCATCCACTTGCCAACTTCCCACCACAGATGCCGGGAAAGCTCTGACCCTGTGGGAAAGTCCAGGGCATCTTCTCCACTGGGCCGCCTCCTACCGCAGCTGACTCCTCTGAACCCCAAACTGGCTCTTTCCTGGAAATGCTCTATTATGCAGTCTCACTTTTTCTCACTTCCTTTTCCTTAGAGGAGGAGGGGCCAGCTGGTGCCCGCTCTGACCTCTGGCTGTGGCGCTGCTGGGCCTTCGTCACACCCCTCTCCTTCTCTCCCCTGCTGCGGACTGCCTTCCACGACCCAGGCTGCGTTGCTGGCACACTTCGGGTCTGGTTAAGAGTTCAGCTTCCCTGTACCTTGTTTTCATCCTAGGTGGTATCGTCATCCCTCTCTGACTCATCTCATGCAAAACCTTTGTAATTCCTCCTCTATTTCTCCCCCTGCCCAATCTGAGTCCACCCTTCCCACTCCCTATGCCTGGTGCATTTCAGACACAGGTCCTGATGTGCAGGGCTGTAAATGTATCTAATCTTATTACGGGGTCTTACACCAGGCCTATAATAGGAGAGGTGGGTGATCCCTCACAGATGCTCGGGACACCTGTGGAAGGCAGCAGAGTCCAGCAGAGGAGTGTGGAGCCTGGTGAGGGACAGGAGTGCCCGCTCCACCCTGAGAGCCAGCAGGAGCAGCCTGCGGTATGGACTTCCACGTCCATACCACTCATGGGCCACCTTGTGCCTGGCCACAAGCCTCCTGAAGTTCAGCCCCTGTCCATTCTCCAGTCTCAGAACTTTATCAATTTTTTTTTTTTTTTTTGTAAAATTCAGACCCAATCTTCCTTAAATCTTCCAGCATATCCTGATTGCCCACAAGGAAATTCTCCACATTTTTCCTGGACTGCCCCCAGGGGTGGCCTTGTCTCTCCTTACTGTCCACAGCCATGCCTGGACCATTGTCCTGCTGAGGTCCTGCCTTCCCATGTTTCTTTCTCTGTGTCACATGCATCTTCTCTGCCTTCCCAAGGTGCCCTGGAGAATTCCCGCTTATTAAGCATAGTTCTCCGAGAATCCTAGCTGCCCACATCTTGACCACGCCCCCTCTGAAATGCTGTGCTTCCTGGACATGATTCAGGCATTGTACTGGGCTTGTATTACGGCTGGAGCTTCTCACTGCCCGCCCTCCTCAAGAAACTGGGAGCTCCCTGAGGGCAAGCCTCCCTCTCTCCCACCCCCGCTTGGCACCAGGCCTGCACAATGTTTGATCTGAACCTAGTTTGGTTTTCTGAGTGGTTGCTAGAAATGCCCCCTGGAGAAACCTTAGTCATCTTGTCCAGCTGCCCTCCTGCAAGGGTCTCCACTTAACTGAGGAGTGCAGCTGGTTCCACGTCACCTCCTTCCAGTCACTGTGAAATCAATCGAATGGATGTAGCTTACCATGCTGGGTTTTAGGAATCCTCTGTTGCCGTTATCTTTATCAATGGTAGTACATTCAGACAAGTTCAGATGCTTCTAGAGCTTTCCATAGAAACCCATTTGATCTTATGCCAGAATTTAATTTTATAACTCGGGGAGGACTTGTCCATCACACAGCATGCAGTGTTGCTGGCTCATGCTTTTGGAGTTTCATATTGGAACCCAGGTTTGTATGCATTTTGCCTGGGGACTCAGTTTCCCACGGTCAGTGATGGGCAGAGTGATATGCTTGCTCCTTCCCTCCACCTGGCCTACAGATGTGTCTTCAGAGTTCACAGCCAGGACCAGTTACTCTTCCTGTGGACTGCCAAAATAAGTTGATAGTCGGAAAGAAAAAAAAAAAAAAGACCACAAATTTTATGGAACATAACTAGGGAGAGAGAGTGGCAGTCCAAGGAGGAAAAAAGTAACAACACTCAGTAGCCACCCACCTATGCCTCCAATTTCAGCCAGCTCAAAGAAAACTGAAGGAAGATGCACATCTAGTCCACCAGAGTGCTCTGAAATGGGCCAGTAGCGTGCGCTTTCCCCACACATCTACATAATCAGCCTGACCGCACGATGCCAGGCTCAGGCCACGGTCTCTGGCAGTCAGTCCTGAGCATCAAGACTGTGGCCAAGGGGCGTGTGAGATGGACAGGTGAGCTGTGAAGAATGGGTTTGCAGTCAACTGCTTCCCAGCAAAGAGGTTCGTTGAGCATCCCTGGGCACACGCTCTGAAGCCCTCTCAGGACCTGGTGGTGTGAAGATGCGTGCACACCTGGGTGTAGTTGTGACACTGGTGCAGCCCAGGCATCAACACAGTGAAGCTCAGATCCTGCTCTAGGGCACACCTTCGGTCTTCTAGCTCTGACCGTGTTTGCCTCAGGTGCCGAGAATGTGCCTGGGAGCACCCGCAGGCAGGGCCCTTCCCCACTGGGCAGAGTGTCACCTGCCAGCTCCCTGGCACTCGCATTAGATCCCAGGGGCTTTTCTGCCTTTATTCAAGTCGTTCCCCTCAGAGCCCAAGGAGCGCCTGCCAGGAGAGGTACCATTTCCTAGGAAAGAAGCACAGGGCACGAGAAAAGTCTTAAAATTGTGAGCATGTCAACTTTCCATGCTGGGTTATGGGGATTTTCTGTGGCAGTTATCTTCGCTAATGGTGGTATATTCAGACAAGCTTGGATGCTTCTAGAGCTTTCTATAGAAACTAATTTGATGTCATGCTGAAATTTATTTCAGAATTCTGGAGGAGCTTGCCCATCACACAACTCCTGTCTGTGCAGATGCCCAGGAGATGGTGCTCAGACAAGGCTCTCCAGGGTCTTTTTTTTTTTTTTTTTAACTTCTGTGCTGAAATCAATAATTGCAGACATATAAAGATTCCACTTATTGTAATTCATGGCATAGTGGGAAAAATAATTGAAACGAAACAATCGAGGTGTCAGATTTATGTTTAGTTTTGGTCTCTTCACGGGTCTGTTCTCCTCTACGCGGCTCAGCCTCCCTGCTTTGGGTGGAGCAGGGAGTCATCCCCAAGGAGCAGTGAACGGAGATCAGTCCAAGGCTCTTTTATCTTCAGGCAGAGTCAGGGCCAGCACCAGGCCACCTCATCAGTACCGTGCTGATCTCCTGTGATCGCTTGCCCGCCATCACTGTCCTCTCCATGCTGGTAAGCATCTCCCACTGCTTGCCTTTCAGGTGGGAGTCCACAAGGTGTTCCTGAAACACGGGCATGCCGACCAGCTCCACAGCCTCTGCCTGCAGCTGCAGAGGAGCATCATAACCTGCCAGAAAGGTAACTGTCACTCCAGCTCTCCAGACCCTTGAGCCGCAGAATTCAAAATCATTCGGTGCACCCGAGTTTAAATGTCAGTCACATCCACACCGCAGCGGGTCACCCTGTCCCCAACACTGCAGTGGGGGCGGGGAGGCTCAGTGGCCCAGTTGGTACTTACCTGCCTCCTCTTGAAGGTTTTATAGACACTGCTGGTGTTCTACTGAGTAGCCTTCGTGTGAAACTTTGTATTCAGTTTTCACCCCAATCACAATTTGGAGGAGAGAATATACACCTTGTTGTTTATCACAGCTGTTCAGGATTAATGACCCTTATAAGAAACACAAGGCAATAAGACTGTACCTTGGAATCTTCAATGAGAAGAACCCTCCATCTGGCACTTAGCTGCAGAGAAAGGGCCACATTCCCAAGCCATCTCAGTGGGGGCCACCAATGTGCCAGTTTGGAGAACTGGGATCAGCCAACTAGCCAGGCCACATTTTCCAAGACTCCACATGAGCCTTGGGGAAATTTTTTACTCATTTTTCCTTTATGAAGGGATAATATCTATAGTATCTTCAATAGTCGATAGCATCTATTTTGTTATAGCTTTGGGATACATTCTATTTAGAATTTGTTTTCTAACAAAATCTAATTGACAATTTAAAAAAACACACATCTCTTATAAAATGTTTATGCTTAGTAGAAATTTTTAAAATTTCAATGTGTTTAATAGTTTAATTGCTTAGAGGGGGCAAAGGAGGGAGAAGTTAACCTGTGTGCTAGCTTTTGGTATGACTTACAATGAACTTGGTTCTGTGATTATCTGAAACTGGTGTTCCAACACAGAGCCTGGCAGGGTGCCAACCTCAGCTTTACTGTTTAATCCCCACCCCCCAGCTCCTCTGTGGGATGTGTCTGGGTCTGATCCTTGAAGACCTTTCCACGGGCCCCATGGATCTCTGATGATAGGAAGTCCTGCTATGTGCTGGTCCTTCAACAGGTCCAGTCAAGTAATGATCCAAACCCCCAAACTCTATCCAGGTTAAAACACCCCCCTTGGCCATTTCAGGCCTGGTGTGTCCAGAACATTCCATGATACTGTGGGTGTGTTCCCACTTCCTGTGTACTTGGGTGCCTCTGGATCCTCCCGGCTGAGAGGAAGAGAAGGCAGGGGAAGGACAGGTCTTCCTGGGACACAGTGTGACTCCACACTGCTCTCCCTGCTGAGGCCCGTCATATAATCAGGAGCACTTCACCCATCCTGGGGCCACTAGCCCGCAGCCCCTGGGTACCCAGAAGCCCTCTCTCTCAGCAGCATCCCTTTCTTGAAAACCCCCTTTGTGCCTGAGAAGCAGGTGCTCAGACATCTCCACAGTGGCAGCTGACCCTGACCCTTCCTGACCTGCAGCCCACCTCTCTGTCCACCCAACTCCAGCTGTCAATACAACAAGCTCTCTGGGGAGTCTGAAGCCACATGTCCAGCCTGGGGCAGTGGAAGCCTTCAGTGAGGAGGGGCCTGGTGCTTACCTCTTAGTTCAGAATGCATCTTCTCTTTGCAGATGATAATCTGCCCTGTAACGTCACCCCTCACTGGGGCAGGGCAGGGGCTGGGCCACAGGTCAGTTTTGAAGTCCTCCTTGGCCATCCCCATTGGTGTTATTTGCCCTGCACCAACCCAGATGATCTCTGAGCCCCTGCAGCTGCTACCTCACTGGGGGTCAGTTAGAAACCTAGCGTCCCAGCCCCACCTGCATGCGTTAAATCCAAATCTGTATTTGCTGCCACAGCTAGAACCAGGACAGGGAAAGTTCCACTTAATATGTTAAGTGTAGCTCAGAGAGGGCGTCCCAAATGCTCAGGAAGTCCTCCTTGAATAACTGGAGGGATTGTGCCCTGTCTTCCACTGGGACACCCAGCAGAAATGCCCCTTCTACTTAGTGCCACACACAACTGACACAGGGCAGAAGAAATGCAAGAACTCCAATTTTTTGTGGTCACCTTTCTAAAGATAGAATTTGAGAGTGGTCTAGAAAATGGTGTCAGGGCAATAAACATAATTCCATGCAGCATAAATGAAATAATGGATATGAAAGCACTTTCAAAATTATGGGCTGTTAAAGGCAAAGCATTAATTATTGATTTTTATTTTTACATCTCTTAGAATCTCTTATATTTTTATTTTTAACATCCCTCAATATTTTTGCTGATATTAAGTTTACTCAAAATTTATACAATCTGGAGTCATTTCCAGTTTCCAAGGAGTTCCATTTTTTTAATTGCAAGTGTCTAGAGGAAAGAAAGCTATAAATTTTAGTTTTAACTTTAATCATTGTAATTTGAAATTGTTCCTACTGGAAGTTTTCTAAGTATGTTCCTCTTATTATGGATGAAAATGAGTAGAATAAATGAAGACCTCAACATGGTTGGTCCAAAGAGGAAGGATTTAGGAATTGTCAGGAGGACAACATATACCATACTCCATTTGTGGCAAGTTTATTTTCATTAACTGTCTTTTATTAAAGATTCTGACTTTTAGCAACTGGTATAACATTTTTGAAGGGTGTTAGAAGGCCACTAGTTGAAGAGAAAGTGGAGGCCTCTGGATGTGGACAGTCCATTCACAGTGGGATGTGACCCAGTGGAGAGTTGTACTTCAGGAGATCCAAAGGCATCTGTCATATCCACGAGCATCTTCCCTTTTATTGTAAGAGATGAGACATCTGGAATACACTCTCACCTTCACTCTCCAAAAGTCAACCCCTCCCCCATCTCTTTTTAAATATAACAAGAAAGAGCAGGTGAACAGGTCAAGATAAGGTCTTCCCTCTTCTCTACACCCATGACATGCTTAATACTTTTTATTTCATTTCATGTTACAATCCTGAAAGTCTGGTGCACCTTTCATTGTTTAACTGTTTGTTGCTTACATTAGTTCAGCATGAGGGTTTTACAATTAACTCCATGCAGCTGCATTCCTAAGGAACTCAACATTTAGTATTGCCACCTGAAAAGAAAGGAAAGGTTTACCATGTCGGAGCCTGTGTCTTCTTTTCCTAACTGGAAGATAGTTCCATTCAGCTTCCACCGCCTGAACAAGTGGAGGCATCAAAGCAGAATTCTCAACTGACCCTGTTGGTTGCTTCCTAGCCTGGGAATGTTTTAAGTCCTTCATGTTCCATAAGCATCTGCCTCCCCAGAAGACAACAGGAAAGTGTCTGCCGTACACATTGGTTTTCCCTGGAATTAGTGGTCCTCTTTCATCCACAGCTCCTTCAAATCTTAGAAACTGAGAGTCAGAAGGGATGGCAACAGAGGAACTGAGAGACTCTGCCTGGAACCACACAGCCTGCCCCTGTGCACGGCCCTTACCTGTCCCTCGGCCCCAAGAGGAAGCCTTTCTGTGCTCGTCTTGCCCACACTCAGGGCCTGGGAGCCAGCTCCCTAGGCAGCCCAGTCCCTCTCTACCCTGTGCTTATTGTCAGAAAGTCCTTCCTCTTATTGATTGAAGATATGCTTCCCGTGACTTTGATGATCTGTACCCCTGGAGAGCCACAAGTCACATCTTTGTGACTGCAGCTGAAGGGATGGAGACTGGCCTCAGAGGCAGTCTGCTCTCATTGGTGGTCTTCATCAGCAGGAAATAGTGACACTAAGGAAATTTCATTATCATTGTGTCCAAAATGGGCATAATGATCCATGTGATCATTTCTTTTCAGCATTAAATGATGCAATAGATTGCCTGAGACATGTGGGTGCCTCTTAGTGGGGGTCTTTATTTTTATTTTCAATTCTTACACTGGCTACTGACATGTGGGTGATATCAAAGCATTCTCACTCAAAGTTTTTATACCTTTTTCCCCACCTTCCTTTCTGGATAGCAGGAGGGATGTCCCCTATTTCCACAAAAATCTTTCTAGAAACTTCTCACTGTGTTGATTTCTCCAGGAGTTAAATCAAGGTCCTAGAAATAAAATATGCATGATATTTCAAAAACTAACTCCATGCACCTTGATGTTTCTGGAATAATTTGATATCATGGAAGGAAATCAAGACATCCCAAAACCGTGTAGTAGGAGCTGCTCCCACAATGCTCTGGAGTTTGGAGCTGGTTCTTGCCCACTGGCATCCAGCTTGTGTCACCAAAAACAATGCGGGAAAAGCTGTGTTACCCACTTGATCCGCAGGCCCTCAAGCAGGTCAAGGATGGTTACCCTGAGTGTGGTCATTACTGAATTCAGATATCCTTCTTAATAAGAGATGGCAATGCTTAGTAAGTTCTTTTCCTGGGTTAAACGTACCTTATTTTGCAGCCATGATTCTTGTTTGTGTTGTGTCTGGGCTTCCTCCCTCATGTTCTGTCCCCTGACCCAGGGTTGTGTTTTTTTATGAAGTCATACGAGGGTTTCTAGCACGCCAACACCTGCTTCAGAGAATGAGCATCAAACAGCAAGAAGTCACGTCCATCAAGAGCTTTCTGCAGAACACAGAAGACAGGGCACTGCAAGCCTATGATGCCCTGGTCATTCAGAACGCCTCCGACATCGCCCGGGAGAATGACAGGCTCCGGAAGGAAATGAATGGTCCCTACCATAAAGAGAAGCCTGCTACCAGGAGCAAGCAAGAGGAAGGAGCCAGAAGGTAAAGGCAGGTAGTCTGCAACTTCAGTGACCTCGGTGATGGACTCACAGGAGTCCTGAGGATGGACACCCCCGCAATCCCAGAAATGCTTGTCCTGTGCTTTCTTTTCAGGAACTAGATGCTGTAGTCATATGAAATTGTTATTGCTTCCTCTGCTGTGCTTCTGTCGCTAAACTGCCTTGAGGTCTAAGTTTTAAAGCAAAATCAATAGCAAAAACTAATAGCTGGAATTTTTTTTTATTTTTAGACAAGTGTGGTATATATATATATATATATATATATATATATATATATATACACACACACACATATATACATACACACATATATATGTACATTTATATATGTATATATATATGACAATATATATATATATATATATATATATATATATATATATATATATGGAAGGCTGATAGAAATTTTAGCAAACAATTGAGATACCACTCTAAAAACATAAAATTAGTGAACTCAGTAAATAGCTTATACATATTATATTTTCCTGTGTAAACAATCAAATTTTCTTGGCCAATAAAGAAAGCTTTAGAAAAAAAGCTTTTCATTTAAAAGTTTACTTGGGACACTGAGCCTGGAATAGAAACACAAACTCTTCATGATTGTTCCCTCCCTGTGGGTGACAGCACACCTGAGAATCACAGCACCCCTCAGGGAGGGCAGAAAAAGGACTGACTTTCCAATTCATGGTCAGAGAGGTGTTCATTTTTCCAGGGGAACTTGGTAATATCTCCTTTCTCTCTGAAAGCAGCTCTCCTTTGCCATGACTGCCTATGTCAAGTGATTTTTTGTTAAAAAGGAGATGGCAATGTGTCTCTTGCTAATTAGCCTCAAATATCTCCATGATTAAATACTGAAAAAGTTCCCTTTGTATGGAAAACTGTAATTAAACGTTACAGGGAAAACAAATTATCCACTGAGTGCCACACTGTCATCTCCAGTGACTTCATTTTCTACATGGGCGGCTGGCTCTGCCTGGTGGAAGATTCCAGCCCTGTTGGTGTTCCGCCACAGAAAGATGTAATTATAAAGCAAGTGCTCGGGAACTCCTTGTGAGATGAACGCCTTGGCATCTTGCTAGTACATGATTACATTGACATGTGAAGCCAGAGGAACTTTTTAAACCAGATAACTATTAATTTTAAATGACTTCCAGAATAATATTTGTTATTTTCCCTGCTGGAACTAAACGATCACCCCAATTTCTCAATTTGATTATGTATTTATTTGCCTGATATAAAATTAAGTGAAGAAGCATTTGTCTATTTCTTGAAGACCAGCAGTTTGCTTGGCACTAGACATCCATATGGAGTCATAGGACAAATAATAGTTCATTGCATAATTAAATAATTGCTGGTAGAATTTAAATGGCAAGAGAGAGAGAGGGGGGGTGGGGCAGAGTGTAGGTCTTTGAGGGTTTTGAGTAGCGTGTGTGCTGGTTTTTCAGAGGGAGAGGACGATGAACTCCCAGCATTCAATGCCTCAGTAACTCTCTATTAAGATGGATTTCCCAGAAATTACCATTCAGATTGAAATTCTGGGTTTTTGATTTGCTTAAGAATCAGACTGTGAAAAATTCATTCACTGAATGCCTGATAGAGAATGGGAAGCCTCTTAAGTAGCTGGTTTGCGGGAGAATTGAGAATTTCAAGAAGCAGCCTGATGACCGTGCTGCGTGCCCATTCATCACAGCAGGTGGGCTGCGGCGGCTCTGGACGAGCCTGTCCCTCATCCTCCAGACCCAGCATGATGGCTGTCTGGAAGGAGCCCTCCTCGGTCCGCCTGAGCAGGTTCCTTGTTGTCAGCTGAATAATAACCTCCGAGCCTCTCTCTGAGGCTGTTTGTGTTCTGTTTCCTCCAAGAGCTGAAGACCAGGGTGGGTCCTGGCACGTCCACTCCAGCTCGGTCCCCATCCCCATGGCGGTGGACAGCCTGGCCCAGGCTCTCGCTGGACCATCCATCCGGTCTCCATCACTGCACTCAGTGTTCAGCGTGGATGACAGCAGTGGCCTCCCGTCGCCACGGAAACAGCCTCCGCCCAAGCCAAAGAGGGACCCCAGCACCCGTCTGAGTGCCTCCTACGAGGCTGTGAGCGCCTGCCTCTCAGCGGCCAAGGACACAGCCAGCGAAGGTCAGCTGGGTGAGCGTAAAAGACGGGCCTGGCTCACGGACCTCCGTCTGTGAGCGCCCCACGGCGCTATTGTGGCCCTCATGTATTTTTAATAGAAATAAATCCAATTGTTGGCTTGCCAGCAGCCCTTTAATCATTAAATATAAATAATATTTATTCCAATCTCTAAGCCTCTTAGGGAAAAGCTACTTACATGTCATTTCCTCCACTCCCGGCCCCACCTCTGCATTGAGTTTGCAGCCTCAAGGCAGAACCAACAAAAAGTTGGTCGCTACTCCATGTAAATTTCCACTAAGTAAAAGGTTAAAAAATGCATTGGGCTTTGCTGTGTTCACAGTCTAATTAAAAATTAAGCCCACTTTTTCATGTGGTGAGTGAAGCAACCTCACAGAGGAGAATAGTTGCAATGAAATTCAGTTAAACAAAAACTTCTGAGACTCGATAAAAAAGTCTTTGCACTGATGGTCTTGAAATATTTATGCAAAAAGGGGTAATTGCAGTGTACTCTCCATACAGTCTCTCATGGATTAGCATGTGCTACAATTATGGCTTAATTGTTCATGTTTAGAATTGTGACTAACACAGGAAGTGCTCTTTGTCAGACCATTCAGGAACAGCAGTGGGCTGACCATCTGCTGTGGGCTGGGCCCCGTTGTTCTCTGCACACACGTGTATGGTATCTTCCTTCATGGAGCCTACGTTCCACAAGCAAGAACAGATGTGGACACAGTAAGCAAGTCAATGCATGAGGATTTTAGCAAGAGGCCTCTGCTGTAGACAGAGATAACTAGTGCCAGTGCCGGGGTGGAAGTGAGGGCAGGGACAGGAGGCAGGATTCTAAATGAAATGACTGAGTAGATCTCGGGAGGAAACAGCTTCTGAACACAACTGAAACACAGTTCCTTTAGTTAAAAAAAAAAAAAAAATAAGATGAACCAAATATATAGCAAAACAGCATAACCAAATACACAGCAAAACAATATGCTCCACTTAGGGACAAGATGCAGGATCCTGGAAGTGGCCCTGGCTTCTGACCATGGGACAGAAGCCTTAAGCAACAGGAACATCCTGGCTTCTTCTTTGAACTACTTCTCCTTCGTGACTGTAAGAAAGAATCGATATTTAGGGGAATTTTTAACTACCAAGGAAAAAAGTTGTTTTAACGTGCAAATCATGTAACAGCAACACTTAGGTGTAGGTGTAGGAGAAATTCCCGTGTCCTACCTCTGTGGTGAGCAGAGATGGTACCTATTTGCAGCATCCTGTAACAGAGGCAACAGCAAGAGCTGGAATGTAACATCCAGGGGTCGTGGAGGACATTCTTCCCTAGATAGAGAGAGACAGAGAGAGTTAGGACTTTCCTCCCAGGAAGTCAGGTGCTGCCCTAATGTGCAGCACACAGGGGGAAGCTCCTATTGAACAGGCCGGCAGTGTGCTCCCCTGGAGAGTGCTACAGACAGTCACCACCATTACGCCGTCAGACCTCTGTGCAGAGCTTCTAGTGCAGATCTCAGAAAGTAGTGACTGAAATTAGGGGAGAGAATTTTTGGCACTGTGGGTGAGGAAGAATCATATCTAAGATTTTAAGACTAGTGAGGTAGGGAGAATGGGAAATGAACATTCAGGACAGTATGAGAAAAAATACAAAGTAAGATGGAAAATCACAGTGTATACAGAGTGGAGCCTCGTCCACACTTGCACACTGAGGTAGCTCTGTGAACGAGCTCAGCAGGCCACAGAGTAGCTTGAGCAGTCCCTGCATGCTCATTACAGGGCCCCTGCCCCGCAGTTGAGGTTTTGGAGTGGTCAGGCATCAACAGTCGAGGGACTAGGAAAGGAGAAAAGATAGGAGAGGCTGAGCTCAAACCGGAGTGTAAGGTCTTCCACGTGGGCAGAAAACAACGTCAACTAAGAAGGCCGACTCAGACCTCAGGAGGCACAAGCTGCAGATGAAAGGTGAATGACCAAAAAGGGGGGAGGGGGAGGGTGGGAAAGAGAATGCAGGGGAAGCAGGGTGCAAGACTGCAGGCGCAAAACTGTTGAAAGTCCTTTCTGCTGCTCACAAGGCACCAGGACACCTTCCTTAGACCCGTAAGGGGCTTACGTACACTTTGATTTCTTGGAACCTGGTTTCAGCTCACATGTGGCCACTAGTTGCTTAGAAAATTTCCCCAACTCTGCTCTGTTGTAGGAGCCTGTGAGAGGGCGAGGAGGCACACAGTTCCCTTTCTACCATCTACGACCTGCATTCCTTCTTACAACACAGAATTCCTAATACTGATTACTTTGCAACCACAAAAAGAAAGTCTTGGGTCTCCTGGGAACAGAGATGCATTTCTGCACTTTGGGAAATGCTCTAAATATATTCTTACAATTTAAAAATTAAGCTGCCTAAGCACGTTTGCTGGTTAAGTTGTGTAGGATTGCAAAGTCAGAAAGGGCCGTGAGGGACTTAAGTCTCTCAACGTGTCAGTGTTCCAGATTTCTGGTCACAAAAAAATACCTACACCCATAAGTGAATAGCCAGAAGCTACAGTGGCTCTGGTCCCATCTATACTCTTGTGACAGGAGTGGGACACTATACTTTTGTGTCTGAGTCATCTTAGACACTTCCTTCAGTACCAAAAATTTCAGCACAATCTAAACCTGTGCCTGCTGACATAGTGGCCAATAGGCACATGCAGCCATTCAAACTGAGAGTTGCTAAAATTAACTGTGATTTTAAATGTCTGTCCCCAGCCAACAGCCATATTCCAAGCACTAGATAGCCACAGGCATAGAACTTTCCACCATCACAGAAAGCCCTTCTAGACAGCTGTCACCCTAAACATGCCATGTTTCTACCAAAGAGCTGGTTATTTTGCCCCTAGTAACAAGTCACAGTCTTCCTCATTTCTATAATAGGTAGGAAGAACATACAGTCACCCTTTAAAATGCTTTGTGAACCCTGGTTTCACAAGAGCAAGGCCTAAGCTAGGGTTTGTAGATTACCAAGGCCATTCTGTTTGCCTTATTTAAAAAAAAAAAATCAAGTTCTTTCCCTTTGCACATAAAGCTGTTAATCAAGTCAGAGGCTGCAAAGCGAAAGGAGATGATTGGTGAACAAAGGCCAGGGACTGCAGAGGAACTGGTAATGAGGCTGTTCCAGGTTGTCTTTGGGTTTGGTCTTGTTCCTCTTGGCACATGCCTTTCCTATAGGCTGTCAGCTCATCAACAGGGTTGCAATAAAGAACAGCAGTATGGAGAGCTCATTTTATTTCACTACCTCAAAAGCATGAATCAATTCACAGACCAATAAATTTTAGCACTTCTTTGCAAACTATTAACAAGCTATGTCAATTATGTGAAAGAACCATTTTTCCCAAAGTCTGGGGTTTACCTTAGCAAACAGTGGCTGGGGAAGGAAGGTCAAGGCCCACTTTCCCTCTTCCTGGAGGAAGCTCCTAGCCAGTATGCTCCTCCCTCTTCCTGATGTCACTCTGTGCCCACAGGTCAGCCTTCCTCCCCACACAGTGCACATCCTTCCAACAGCACGGGAAATGAGAGTCTGTTTGTGGCCTTGCAGAAGTGACCAGGGCTTTCCAGGCCCATGTGAATCAAGGGGCAGCAACAGTGACCCACAGCACAGGTTCGCTGTGGGAATAAAGAAGAGGGGGCAGAGCCCAATCTCCTGGGACACAGGGAGTGGGCCTCAAAGCTCCAAGGTCATAGATGGTTCACAATGCCCATGAGGGTCGGTGAACTGAGCCCTAAATCCTAAGTGAGAAATGGAGCTCAAGTAATGATGTGGTGGAGGAGGGCCTGCTGAGTGACCGCTGCTGCAGCTGAAACAGAGGCAGGGTGCTCCTGCAGCTCTCACCCCTGATTGGTTCTGGGAGGACACTTCCACACACAGCCTCCCTTCAGGTCCCAGGGGCCCACTGCCTTGGAGACAAGCACCTTAATCAGCCCCTAACCTGTTTGAAAGTTGCTGTACAACTCCATCCTCCACAAAACACTGGCTAAAGATACAGATAAAATAATGGTTCAGCTCTGTGGCTTTATTTAGACATGCATTCTGTCTCTTTTCATTTTTCCCCCTGCTGTCTTGTTTATATCTTGATTCTAGAACAGAACTTCTCACCTAGAAAGCATTCAATAAATAGTGAATGAACATATATATGTTACAGAAACATATTTGTGCTGTTCTCATTACAACAAATTCCCTGCTTGTCAATAGGAACACAATTGGCAAGGTTCAAGTGCACCTGCTCAAGATGTGTGAGGTGCACTTTATCAGTGCATGTTGAGTAGAAGCCCCTTTATTTTCTTCTATCACCTGAAATTTGACAGAAATCAGGCCTTCCATGAACATGGCTCTGAGAAACATGTTACTGGGAATCACAGAAGATGCTGCACAACATAGCCAGCCACCTAACACACATAATCCAGGGGGTGCCATGAGCCCATTTATGGAGCCTATAAATGGGCAAGCAGGTTTGGAGATAAGCAGAATAAGAGTAATGACAGCAGGATGCTGTGGACACAGAGCCCAAGAGTGACCGACCTCTGAGGGAACCACAGAAGGTTCAGGAAGGACATTTTAGCAGCAGCACTGTACACATGAGCATGCCCAGTGGTGCACATGTGTGGTCCACCAACAGGGGGGAACTCCCCAGCATACCACAACTCTGCGGAAGCCCTTTCTGTCTCATTTGTAGCCAGCTGTAAAGCCATTCCGCCCTCCCTCATGCAAGCAGCTGGCTGACTGCTCAGTGAGCCGACCCTTAAGGGAGCACCTTGGGTGTTCCAGGTCCTGTGCTAGAGCCAACTCCCAGGCTGAGAAGAAGCGCACTGGGGGAGCTGGCGATGGAGACCACTTACAGAGACTCACGGGTTTTCTTGACTCATGAGGTTCTCATTCCTCCTTTTTCCATTGAATAAACAGGTATCTGATGTTCAGTGAGAAAGAGGCCAAGTGATTTGAGTACTGGTGCAGATGTTAGAAGTCACCAACAGGCCTTAGCAAGAAATCCAAGAGGAAGGCCCTTTGTATTTGAAGTTGTCTCCCTCCTAACAGAGCTTAAATATGGCGCGAGTCCATATGGGAGCTCAGATGAGAGTCGAGTTTGTGAAATACTGAGCTTGGTTGGGAATGGCAAGTCTAGCTCCTCAGCTGCCGGTAGGACTCCAAATCTTGCCCTAAAGTCACCCTGCGAGAAGGAAGGGCTTCCTGATTCCATTTCATCAGCATCGTCAAGTAGTTGCAAATGTTTTGTACATGAATTTTAGAACTGAACAAAAACAAGAAAAAGAAATCTCTTATTGTAAATTGTCAATAGCCCTTAAATCCATACTTGCAAATAAACTTTTCACATGTCCACATACACATGCAAACCCAGAAGTAACTGCAAAGCCAAACCTCGACTCTGGTTTTCTAATTTTAATTTATGAAGAATGAAATTTCCAATTCTGACCCTCCCCCTCCCCCGCCCCTGCCTAGACTCCAATGTACTAGTTAGTGGGACAGGAACCTGTCAGTCCAGCACCTAAGGGGTCCAGCATTGCTGAAGCTCCACCCATACTCTGAGGAACCTACCCTGTCTGCCATGATTAATTTCCACCTGGGCAGTAGGACTAATGTACAAGGACAGCCTTCTGAGGGTCACTACGTGCGGGACATTGTGCTAAGCATCTTCAGTCTTCAGAGCTGGCCAATGCTGCAGAGCTAGCATCATGATCCATGTACAGACCAGGACACTAGGTCAGAGAGCAGGCTGTGACATGGCCAACGTCACAGGGCTAGGATTTCATCCAGGCTGTTGGGCTGAGATCCCTGGCTCTCTGCAGCCTCCTGACAAGCACCCTAACTATGTGCAGCAGTTCAAAACCGAAAGTCTGTTCACGTCCAAAGCAGGCCGTGGGGAACACTGTACCAGGGATCCACTACTGGTCAACGGCCCATGGAAACTGCACTGATTTAAATAAGATAAGGATGGCTTTACTTTCTCTCTCATCTGTGGGGGTCAGGGGCTTCTCTGGGTGGTTCTCACTCTGGATCCTTCTTGGAGATACCAGGAGGTGGCTGAAATCTAAGAAAGAGCTGGTCACCCCAGGTTTGGGCTTCAGCCACCTGGGGCATGTGCATCTGGGTGGCGGCTCCTCCTCGCTGGGCAGCATGTTGGCTTCAATGTATTGAACTTGCTACTTGGAGAATCAGTCCCACAAAGGCGTGCGCTCTAGGAGGTGGAAGGGAGGTGACGGGGAAGCACTCGTCATGAGCAGGCCTGTTTTGTCTCTGTCACGGTCTTTGACCATCAGGGTAATCTCAGAGGTCCATCCAGGTTTGGGAGGAGACAAAGGTTCTACCTCTTGAGAGGACTGGAAATACTGCTGTGGCCTGTTTTTTGGGGAAAAACGATCTGCCCCATTCCACCCTGTGGACACACAGTTCACATCCCTCCAAACACAAAGTACACTCACCTCTTCCCCAGAGCTCCTGGAAGCTTCCTTCTGTCGTGGCACCAGGCTCAGGATCAAGGAGAAGACCTCGTCCTCCAAATGAGATCAGGCAAGGCTCCTTAGGTGGACAGCTTCTCAAGAATGCCGCCTTCTACATGACGGCTGTGACCTAAAAGACTAGTTAGCCCCGTACCCGGGACCAGTGTACCCTGAAGGGACAGGTAGATGGCCATGTTGTGTGTGCCCCTGATCCAAAAGGGACTGGCATGCAGCTCTCAGCAACCGCTGGGCACATGTTGCCAGGGCCTTGAGGAGGGCCGTCCTGGTGCCTGGAGGGGTTCTCCATGGCTCTGGAACCTTGTTTCGCTCGCTGAGTCGTAACTCTTTCTCCACAGGGGTCTTAGGTTTGGTGCAGGTTGGGGGTTCTCTTAGCCTGCTTCCTGCTCACGAAGTTCTGACAGCAGGATTCTTCTCTCTCTGTGGATTCTGCCCCTTCAGGGCACCCGGTGCGTCTCCTCTGAGTGCTTTCAATTTCCTCTAAATGTGTTTACACTGCGCTTAATTAGTCAGAGCACATGTCCTCAAGTCTCGGGGGAACCTCTCCTCTCTTTGGGGCTCTCTGCCTTATTTCTTTGAGGCAAGCCTCTGAAGTTCTGAAGGGTCCTGTGGCTCTGCTTCCTGAGCAGTCAGTGAAGCACCACCTTGTGTCTTTGGATGTTTTAATAAATGTCTCCACAGCATGTGCTTGGCTTCTTCTTTCGATCGTGTTTTCCTGAAAATGCCCTGAATTTCTTGTCTGCTGGGAGGTCCTTTCTTAGCTTTAGAATCTCTGCCATCTGGAGAGCCGACAGTGAGAACCATTTTATTTTCAGATCCTTCAGGTCCTGGCTCCCTCGTGACGATGGCTCCTTCTTTGCCCATCTCTTCGCGCTCATGTTCTGTTCCAGGTGGTTTGAAGAATCCCAGAGATAGCTGTGACACTGCCTGACAGTCTCCTTAGCCTGGTGGCCCAGTCACGAAGTGGGTCTCCTGTTTGCCATTCCTGCAGGTGACACTGCTGCCGGACTTTCCCTCCTCATCCTCCCTTGAACCTCACCCAGAGCTTTCCTGAGGGCCCCCCATTTCTGCTGATTGTCTCTTCAAGACTCATCTGTTTTCCCAAAGCCAAGCCACACGTTTCATTTTTTAGGTAGCAGCAGTGCCCTGTAGGTACCACGTCTGTGCAGGACTCCGTGTCTTAAGATGCAAGGATGACTTTAGTACTGTCCTATGGCTCCAGAATGTGACTGAACTCCGGGGTCCCTGGAGGAGGAGGTTCATTGCACATCCAGTGCCTGGGATGGGAAAGATCAGACAGCTGAAGGCAGGAGCAGATGGGTCCTCTGGCCTCTCCCTCTCCTCCAAGTGGCCTCTCCACAGGTTCCCCATGGCAGGGATGCTTCAGGGTATCCACGTTTCTTATGCAGAAATCAGGGCTCTCACACCATGTGTCCAAGAGGGTGGGTGAAAAGGCAGACTGCACTGCGTGTGCCCCGGCCTCAGAGGCAGGCAACATCTCTCCAACATCTTCTTCTCTGAAGCAGCCAAAGACCTCCCAGGTTCAAGGTTCAGGAAGAGCATTTGGGACTGAAAATATTGAAACCAGTTTGGGAAAATACCATCTGCCACAAATCCTGTAAATTATTCATGACTGCAGAAATCTATAATACTAATATTAAAAGTGGGGTTGGTGCGTTCTATTTCTAGGAGAAGCTCTGCCCTCTGTGTTTCAGCACACTGAAAGTCATCAGGACAATGCTTATTAGAACATTGCACACGCGGGGTATATTCTGTTCTTGAGTGTCATGGCTTTGGGAAGCCTCATGTAACACTGGCTTTTGAAGATGGCCATGGAGCTAGGAAATGAACTTTGTTTTCTTCCATTCCCATGAGGATGGACCTATTTGTTTCGTGATTATAGTGTGCCAGGACCTGAGCTAAGTACTTTTCACACAGACCTATCCATGCCCTTCCTCTGAGATAGTGAATAATGTCACTCTTAGGCTGTCTTCACTGAGGCTTGGGGAGTTGCCCAAGACTTCTTCTAAAACCACATTCTGTACCACTCCACCCCGCTCCACCCACCTGTTCTGGAACCCTCACTCTGGCCTACTGCTTCCTGTCTCTGTAGCCTGCACCACTTTCTAACACAGCACAGAACTCACTGTGCTTCCCTGTCCTGGGGACATCACCCCCAAAGGGTGGAAGCCCTCCTCCTGCAATATCAAAAGCCAGGGTGCTTGGTGCTTTGGGGAGGTCTGGTTTGGTGGGGCTCCAGTGGGTGGAGGGGCCTGGGTTTTCCACAGCTGGAGTGCAGGGGCTCTGAGGACCAAGGCGAGCCTGGGGGAGGGACAGTTCAGCCAGCTCAGGTCCTGGCCGCTGGCTGGAGTCTTGCTCACACTGCCCTCCCTCTTTTCTCCTCCAGCTCTGACGCGACCCAGACCCCACAGTGATGACTACAGCACCATGAAAAAGATCCCCCCTCGAAAGCCAAAGAGAAGTCCCAACACAAAGCTCAGCGGCTCCTACGAGGAAATTTGGGGCCCCCGGCCCCCAGGCGCCATGTGTCAGGCAGGTGCACGCCAGGTCCCCGGAACCCCTGGCGCCCAGCGGGCCTGCCCAGCTGATGGCCCGCAGTGCACCCCGCAGCTGCCACTGCGCCTGCCACTGCCCCAGGGCGACGAGGATGATGACACGGAGCCTGTGTACATCGAGATGGTGGGGAACGCGGCCAGGGCGGGCGGCCCCGAGGCCGACAGCCCCGACCAGGGCGAGTCCGTGTACGAGGAGATGAAGTACTTCTTGCCCGAGGAGGGCGGCAGCCTGGGCATGGTGTCCTTCCTGTCCGCCTCGCCTCTGTTCTCGGACACTCGGAAAGCCTTGGCCTTGGAGGCTGGTGAGGGGAGCTGCCAGCCCCTGAAGGACACGTGCGACATCCCGCCCCCCTTCCCCAACCTGCTCCCCCACCGGCCTCCGCTCCTGGTCTTCCCGCCCACGCCAGTGACCTGCTCCCCCGCCTCGGACGAGTCGCCGCTGACGCCCCTGGAGGTGAAGAAGCTGCCGGTCCTGGAAACCAACCTCAAGTACCCTGTGCAGTCGGAGGGCTCCAGTCCCTTGTCGCCGCAGTACTCCAAAGCCCCGAAGGGGGACGGCGACAGACCCGCGTCCCCGGGCTGCGCCGTGTCCGAGGGCCCTCGCCAGGCCTCGCCGCCGCCCTCGCCGCCGCCGCCGCCGCCCCCGGGGCCGCCCCCCGCCTGCCGGCCGCCCGCGCACTTCGCCTGCCCGCCCGGGGCCGAGCCGTCCAGGGCGCCCCCGAAGCCCAGCGCGGCGCCCTGCAGCTCCTTCGCCAAGATCCCGCACTCCCCGGCCCGGGCAGCCAGGGCCGAGCACAGGAGGGCCGCCGCCCCGGCCCCCTACAGCCCCCCGAACCCCAGGCCCCTGTCCAGCCCTCTGGACGAGCTGGCCAGCCTCTTCAGCTCGGGAAGGAGCGTGCTGCGGAAGTCGGCCGCGGGGAGGAAGATCCGGGAAGCTGAAGGTGAGCCGACCCCCCTGGGGCTGGTGCGCCTGGGCGCGGAGCCCGGATGGGTGCCAGGGTGGGTGCCGGTGCCTGTGCCTAGCAGGCAGAGGCTAAGAACCTTCGCAAGCGGAGTCCAGGCCCGCTCCGGCCATTCAGAGCAGATGTCAAGGGAAAACCTTCTGCAACCAGTGCGGACAAGTGGTAGGAATTTGCATTTCCACGTTGCAGAATAAGACGGTAAAGTCTCATAATACAGAGATACTTAGCACTAAAACCGGATTTAATAAATTATAGCTTGATTCATGCTGGAACTAGGTTTCTTTCTCCTGTAACACTTCCTTATAACGTGGAAATGGTATTATTTTTTGTGACATCATATTGCCAATATCATCATTAACCCTAGTGGCCTTATCATCCACCTCGTTTTGCCCCAGGACATCTGGGATGATCACCTGTTCAGCCAGCACTCTTCACGGAATACCACTCGCCTTAGGTTCTGGGGATGAGCTGAGTTCTTCTTCCATATACCACCCAAGGAACAGTTTAGCTGATTCTGTTTTGTTTCCTCCTCATCCACTCAACCTAAGGCAAAGTTAGCAGTGGAGACGGTCCACTCAGATGAGCTCCGCATTAGGTTCTTACAGCCAGAGGCTGTTGCTTGGTTAAAAAAAAAAAAAAAAAAAAAACAACGTTTATTTTGTGTCACTGTAAATGCAGAATGTAGCCAAAAAAAAAATGCAAAGAGAAATTTTTGCTAATCTCTTGAAAGTACCTCGACACATACCACTTCATTCACATGAGGTTGCCTTTGTACCAAACATGCTGCTTTTGCAGATGCCCTTAATAATCAAAAAGAATGTTGTCATTTTTTAATTGCAGTTTTTATACAAGATATTTTTTCAACATTCTGTATGTTGAGGAAGAAGTACATTAATGTAAACATCTTGTTAAGTGTGTCATGATGCCATTAGACCCTCTACCTCCCAAGGCTAATGGCCACTGTGGATATCCTCACTTTAGAGATGTAAAACTTCAATGTGGAGGGGTTAATATCCTCTTTGGGGTCAAGTGGCAGGATTGAAAATAAGAGTTTGACCTATGGTATGACATTTCATGCATTAGCCTACTCCTTCTTTGAAAGAAAATGCATAGACATGTTAGTTTCCATCATTTGATTAAGAAATTACTTCAGGTATGAAAACTAGAAAATCCAGAAAGCAATGTGAACGAGAGCAAAGCAGGCAGAGGCTAAGAACCTTCGCAAGCTAGATAACCTACTCACTATTTGTTCTCTAGACCAAAAAGCTAGTTGCTTGTTTAGCTAACAATGTCTTCTTAACTGTAGGCAACTAATAGGTGAAATTCAACTTGAAAGTGGAAGAATGCTTGAATTTTACAGGTCGTGTTTCATTCCAAGGACCAAGATGGAATCTAAGAGAAAGATCATTAAATGAGCACATCAAGATTTGCTTTAAAAACTAGAAGTTTATTGATAACTCGTAAACCTCATTTTACTATAGATTGAAATTAGGTATATTCTTGACTCTAGCTATTCTCTTAAAAAAAGTGAGGTTAACACTTTTGTGGACAGACCTCATCATTTGGAAATCCCAGAGGGGAAGTGAGAATTATGGTGAGGTCTCCAGGCCTGGTGTGTAAATTTGCTGGTCATTGTCCCTCTGGTGCCAGTGTTGGGGACATGTGTCAAAACCTCAAATATAGCACCAAAACTTCATCTGTAAAATTATAAGATACCTGTTTTCCTATTGTGGGTTTTTACAAAATACTTTGCAATTTGAAGAGATTGATTTGAACCATTTAGGACTTGGGCAGCAATAACAGTAAATTTAATACCGGGAGACTGGGTCATCCACTCACAGATGTAGGACACTCAGCTACACAGTTGACCACTGCAGGATTCTTTATGGTCTGTGATGGGGAAGTAAGTTTATAAGTAAGTTGCATGGTGTTCCTTGAAATGTACAAGTTAATCTTCCTGAAGGTGAAAGGGGTCAAGATAAGATATGGAAGGAGGATGCTTAATGGGAGGGCAGGGCTCTAGAGCTGCCCCTGATTGTAAGGCTCACAGTTTGATCCTAAGGGGAGGAATCCATTTTCTTCTAAATGATTTAAAGGGAGGTTATTCCTGAGTTACTATTACCTTGGGGTTTCTTTCCTTTCAAGTTTTAAACCTTCTACTTTCCCCCTTACGTATTTAAAGACGTTTTATTTTCACCTGAAATAGTTTACTTATCAAATAATCCAGTGTGTGGCTAATTCACCATCAAGGCCTCTACATTAATTACAGTTTGTTTCTTATACAGTTGTGATATGAGGAAGTTGTCCTGCAGATTTTCAGGAGGATTCAGAATGTTTGCGTTGCCTCTTTGGGACAGGGCCTTGCAAAGATTAATCTGCTGGTCAATTCCCCACAGTGGGCAGTTCCACGGGACACATGGTGCTCTGCTGGGCATAGGGAGGGAGCTTCTCTCACTGTAGCCCTACCAGGACTGTTCTGGAAACTCACAAATATCAAAGAAGTTCACATCTGCAGACTGTTGGCATATGCAATTTGAGCCGTAAAAAAAAAAAAATCACGTAGATCCACATACAGAAAAAAATAAGATCTTGAAGCTGATGGGTGCGGCCCAGGCTGAATAGAATCACGAGAGCAGCAGGTGCCCATAGCGCCCTATTCCAGGCAGCGCTTCAGTAGCCTGCCGGATTCTCAGGCCACCAGCAGGTGTCTGCTACCCTTAGACTCCTTTTACGGAAAGCTGAGGCACAGGGAGACTGATCCAGTTACTCCAGTTTCTCTGCTCAGGAGAGCCAGGCTCGAATGCAGTAATTCTGTCCCCAGTGGCTCTTTCCTTACCTACCCTCACGCTGTACCTAGTAGAGCAGGAGAAAGCTTTAAGAACTCTGTGTTTGCCCCCGAGGTGCAGCAAGTAAGAGCCACAGAGTCTGGATGGAGAAAATGGTCCCAGACGCTCGGGAATACCAAGGCGTGCCTTCCCACTCTGCGTATGTGTGGTTCTGAACAGTGTTCAGGCCTCTTGGCCCTTTAGTGAGGAAGGACTAAAGGTTTCATTGTCCCTGCCTTCCCAGAAACAAAGTCCCATTAATTCACAACTGTCTTTTCCTCTGATGGTATAATATGGCTAATAGTATTATGCTAATTGTTTCCAGTTGCTTAGTTTAAAAACACAAGGCCTAACCCAAAGGGCGACTGAGGACAGACCTGGGCGTGTTCGGCCACTAGGGGGCTCCATTGCGCTGAAGGCGGCTTGGCTGAGTTTATCCCTCGTGACAAGAAAGAAAGCACCTGCCCTGGCTCTGCTCTTAGGGCACAAGATCAGGGGTCTCCGGGGCTGACAAAAACGCGGTACCTCTCTAGAGTCTGGAGCAGAAAGCAGGGAGAGCTAGGCTGAGTTAGGGAAAGGTGTGACTCTCAGAGCACTTAGAAACCTTGTTCCATTACTCTGGACACCCTTGCTCATCAGACATAACAGGAACTTCAGGACATCAGCAGAACTACAACGTACAATATTGTCTCCTAATATTAGGGGGATTAAATAGTTATTTGATGGAAAATTTACCTAAAAAGCAGTTGAGATATAAATACATCTGATGGATCTTGCCCTGATGGCATTTTTTACTTAATAGGATTCATTTAAACCAAATGGAAATTACATTAATTTCAAAAATTTTTTTATATTTATTTTTTAGTTTGTAGTTGGACACAATTTATTTTATTTATTTTTATGTGGTGCTGAGGATCAATCCCAGGGCCTTACACGTGCTCTACCACTGAGCCACAACCCAGCCCCGAATTTCAAATATTTTATATGATTACATAAACACTCCAAATAAGAATATTTTGAGTTTGGAAGTCAGAGTATTATATAAACACACGTTTTACCACTTGGCATTTTTATTCCGGAGGGCGGTTTGAAAGGAATTTTTTCCTAGAGTTGGCTTTAAGTAAAATTTCAAACATACCTAAGAATACAGAGAATGATGGAGCTTGTCCATGGTCAGCACTGTCTCATCTCTGCTCCTGGCTGCTGCCCTCCGCCAGCACTGGATAATCTGGAAAAGCATCCCAATATCAAATCATTTTATTAATAAATATATAAATATTCTACCACAGATGTTCTTTAGGGGGAGAAAGACATACCCTTAAGTCACATTAATGAGTATAGGACAGCGATGCCGCTTGTCTGCACTGACAGGAGACAGGTATTCACGACGAAAGCCGGAGCATGGGGAGCACAGCACCGTTTCTCATGATGGAAATAAAATGATTCACTGAGCAACCAGGAGCTCCCGTCTGACTTCAGTGACAGTGCCTGGCATGGGCAGCTGATGCAGACAGCCCTTCTACCATGGCCCAAAATAACCGTGGATTTCTAAATATTACATTCAAATGGGACTCAAGTTTGAAAGATCAAAACTCAAAAAGAATTTCAGTCTCATCCTGAATTCAAAAATAAATGCAGTTGTGTCTTAGGTCAGTTATGAGGTTTAGATGTGTCTGTGCCAAGTGCAGTCACCTATACGTTGTTTAGTAACCAGAAGCCCAGAGCTTCAGTGTCACTGAAATGCCTCTGAATCACCAACAGAAATTGAGGCCAACTCATGCCAAGCCATCTGTGAGGGCCACTCCTCACTCCAGCTGTGCGAAGTAGAAGTTTTAACATTATCATTTCGTCTCTGACACGTTCAAATGAGACTGCAGCCTAAGAATGTCACCTGTCTCTGTGGATCTGGACATGGGGTAGAGGGCTGTACACTCAGCACCCAGGGCTCCTTCCACAGCTCCTTCCCCATGTGTAGACTTTGCCTGGCCTAGGTGCTGCTCATTCCCGCTCCACAAAGCTCCCTTCCATGGTGATTTTGATCTGTGTGCAAGTGAGGGTGGCCTGAGGGTCCTTGGAGTCACAAAGGGCTGGGCAGAGGCAGCACACAGCCACTCGTGCGATTCTCCTCCCTGGTAGGTTGCTGTCCACACTCCT